TTGAAAAGTAAAAGGAATAACGGCTTCTTATAGTGCATAAAATAGTCTACAGCAACTAAAATGAATATAAATGTTCCATACCAGTGAGATTTTTGGGTAGTTTTACCCCATATCCGCACTGAGTGCGGAAAAGTATTACTTTGCGCACGCAAATGAGTGCGGAAAAGTACTACTTTGCGCACGCTTGTAGGAAAAATACCTAGCAGATTCGGGTGCCATTCCTGCGAATGTCGCATACAGGAACAATGAATTCGGGTTGATTATAACAGAGGTGGCTATGTCTCTATTTATGAGTGTTTCATAAAATGACGAGCGAACTACCTTGGTAGTAAGAACAGACTTTATATACGCCTCGAAAAGGAGTTAAATAATGGTAGGTTTTATATAGCTAGTGGTGGAAAATACGGCACACTTCGAACGGATTGGTGAAGAAATATCTAACAAAATTCAGATGAATATTTCTTCGACTTCGTCCGAACCATTACTCTCTAAATTCGACTAGAATTATTCCAATCAGTTTTGAGAATGTGTTGAGGAAAGGTATCATTGAAAAAAATCAAGACCGGACTTGATTTTGGAAAGAATAACAAAACATAATTTTTGAAAAGGAGTTGTCGGAATCCTAAAAGCTTTCAACGACGATTCTCAAAATGTCCTCCATTTTCTATAATTTTTTTGCATATTTCGCAAATAATTTGCCTATAATTCTGATCATATCTGCAGCTGTAACAATCCCCTTCATCAGTTTCTCTCTGGTGTTGACTACAGTCTGATAGACCAATCGTTTCATATGTCACCATGAATAATAGTCTGATTCTGACAGATTAGGGGATCTGGGGGGCAAGAATGAGGATCGCACGACCTATCCATCCAGCGATTAGAAAATTGTGTGTCTAGGAATTTCCACACTATTAGTGAGTAATGTGGAGGTGTTCCATCCTGTTGAGAGAAAATACCTATTTCAATCCATTTCCATACATCATAGCCTCCTTTTCTAGTGTTTTCTAAATAATGAAAACACCAAACTCACTATTTGATTTGCTGATTGAGAGAGTTCACATGCAATGAGATCAAGTGAGTTGGCACGAATATCTGTGAAATTTTTCACTCAAGCAAAAGATTCTTCATATTTTTTTAACTCTAGGAGCGCACGAAAGGAAAGTCCAATAATGTTCAAAGAACATCGTGCGTACTTAGGGAGGATCCTATTGTCCGGTCCTAAAACTTTTCCATCGTATGAAGCCCCTTTTCGAATCAAAAGTTAATTAAATTAAAAGCTTTTATTTAACTTGCATTGTTTGGATGTATGTATGTTCAGGTGGAATCTTTGAACTCAATTTTGAAGTAGAAATCTTCAACCGATTGAGCTGTAATTTTGTATACACGTTCAGTTTGGATGACAATGCACGATAAGGTGTGTCACGTTATTCTAAATCCAATATGGCGGACTATCCAAGATGGCGGAATAGCTATTGTTACGTTATTCGGGTGCAGAAGCGAACACGACACTATTTATTTTCGAAGTGATTTATCTGAACTGAAGAAACACTAATTTATAACAAACTTATAACTACTATTTATGTAAAACGATTCATATCACACGGTATATAACTGTCTCTCTGACACTCGCTGCTCGACTGACTGACGGCAGTTATTCGGCCGATTATATATGAGAACACATGACAGGCTTTGGCTCGAGAACGTTCTCGAATGATCTTCCGTCTCCTTCTTTTGTTCTAGAAGCTTCTTGGAACAAAACCTCTTTCTCTAATTGTTCCATCGATTGTTTCCAGAACATTCCAGAATCTTCTGTGACGTTATTTGTCACTGCGGCATATATTGAGTGTTCGGAAATATGCTGGTGTATGTAGGAATCATTGAGAGGTTGGAGAGCAATCTGGGATGCGTGATACAGGATGATCGCTGTACTCCTGCCTTCCTGCTGATGTTTCTAAAGCCCCTCCAAGGGAAATATCATTACACTATTTTTGATATACTTTCACAATATGGGTATCAAATGAAAAGGCTCGTTGAGGGTAACTCGAAAAATGATGTGACGTCATTCTAAATCGAATATGGCGGACCATCTAAGATGGCGGAATGGTCATTTTTAATCTACTTCTACAATATGGGTATCAAATGAAAGGGCTCGTTGAGAGTAATTCGAAAAATAATGTGACGTTTTTCTAAATCCAATGACCATCCAAGATGGCGGAATAGCTATTTTTGATATACTTTCACAATATGGGTATCAAATGAAAAGGCTCGTTGAGAGTAACTCGAAAAATGATGTGACGTCATTCTAAATCGAATATGGCGGACCATCAAAGATGGCGGAATGGTCATTTTTAATCTACTTCTACAATATGGGTATCAAATGGAAGGGCTAGTTGAGAGTAATTCGAAAAATAATGTGACGTTATTCTAAATCCAATATGGCGGGCCATCCAAGATGGCGGAATCGTAATTTTCAATATACTTCTACAATATGGGTATCAAATGAGAAGGTTCGTCGAGAGTAAATCGAAAAATCCAGCTAACGATTTTAACTGAAAGTTACAAAATAAATAAAAAGTAAAAATAAACTATGTAATAAAAATCTTTTATTTGAACGCTCTAAACAGGAGAAAATTGAATGTTCCTTAATAATTTTAACTATCAACTTATAACCTCATTATACACAATTTATATGATCATAAAAGCTTGTCGCGATGATCAATATTCAATTAAATTGTAATTTAAAAAATCTAGATATTGAATCTATTTCAATGTTGTCAGGTTGTCACCAACAGCCTCAAATAACTATCTCTCATAATTATATCTGAGGATATTTCTTCTCAATACTTTCACCCAATCAAGGGGTTCGATCTTGAAGGATGAAGACTTGTTATTTTTATAGACCTTCAATTATAGATTCGTGATTAGGTTTTCTCAATTCAAAATTTCTTTCAACGTCCTACATGACGAATATCAATTGTCATACATCCAAAAACAAATCTATTCTTGATACTTCTCGATTTTTTTCATCTCCTGTATCTCAAGAACTATTTATTCTATACGAAATACTGATGGTTTTTTTTTGCTAGAGGTCGCGATTTTCGAATTATTCGAGAACAACTTGAAGAAATGACCTTCAATGTTCATGTTACTTTCTTTTCGTTGACTGAGCCATGGATGAAACGGAATGGCTATACGCGCGCAGAGTGTCCCCATATGAACTGAAATTCTCATATTTGCAAAACTGGTGGCTCCGCTAGTGTTAATAATTATTCAATGAGGAGCTATTCCAATAATTGGTGGCAGCGCAAGAGTTTTATTTGAAAATGTGGTGGCTACGCTAGAGTTTTGGTGCATGGTATACATGGTCTATTAGTGAATCGCGCGACAAACTTTTATGATCATATAAATTGTGTATAATGAGGTTATAAATTGATAGTTCAAATTATTGAGGAACATTTAACTTTCTTCTTTTCAGAGCGTTTAAATAAAAGCTTTTTATTACAAAGTTTTTTCTTACTTTTGATTTATTCACTCTTATAATACACAGATGAACGTTGTGACTACAATAGTCAGTACGAAATAATGGAATCGTTCATCAGTATTTTGTTCGATAATTTTTTACCAATCTGGTCGAAGTGTGCTGTACAAATTGAAAAGCTACACTTGTAGTGTTTTCCCTGATCTTTTTTATTCGGATGAAAGTGTTCGATGACTACGATTCAGAAAGTCAAAATTTAGACATTCAAAAAGAAAATGAGTTTTTCAAGTCCGGCACTGGATTTTTTTCTTCATAGTAGGCCACGGTGTGGTGTGTCAGTAGAGATGAGTTGCTGGTGAATTTCAGGCGATAACATCGAGACGTTCCTGAAATATCGTCCATGAAAGTTTCGCGCCGAATTCAAATAATGTCCTGTATTTCGAAAAGGCAAAATATATTTTTCCTCATATATATATCAACTCACCTTGGCTTCCTCTATCTGTCGTTAGGATATGACTGGTTGGTCATGACTCACCCTGTATACAGGGTGATCCACGGTGGATCATCCTGTATACAGGGTGATCCACGGTGGATGGCCTATTAGAAGTATCTGGAGAACGGAAAGACAGAACATTCTGAAAATTGGGATGTTTTGATAATTGAACATTCTCTATCAGGCTAAAATATTTTCATCGATACACTGTTGCCACTTTTATCGAAAACAACTAGCAACTTTGTTATTTCAAATGGAACACCCTGTACTCCATTGCATTTTTAGATTCTTCCTGAAGAGCTGATTGCTGAGTGTCAAAACTATCCATTATTGATCAAAACGGCTTACATGTCCCTATCTTCACTTTTGATTCACTAAAATTGAAAAATCTCGATTTTGAACACCCTATATCTCTGTAATCATTCCTGCTAGACCCCAAGTGTGATGCATTGATGGAATCAGCTCTTCATGAAAAATCTAAAAATGCAATAAAATACAGGGTGCTCCGTTTGAAATAACGAAGTTGCTAGTTCTTTCTGATAGAAGTAGCAACACTGTATCGATGAAAATATTTTAGACGGATAGAAAATGTTCAATTATAAAAGCATCCCAATTTTCAGAATGTTCTGTTCTTTGTTCTTCAGATACTTCTAATAGGCCATCCACCGTGGATCACCCTGTATATTATGTTTGATAATACTCGGTACGGAACGTGTAACTAGCCAACTCTATGAGAGTCAGATATAACAACAAATGCATGCGATGTGTCAGCTTCCGAAACAATCGAATATTCATAGAAAATTTAATTATTACAGTGGTGCTAGAAGTTTCGACGTGATCGTAAAAAATGTGTATGAAAATTATTTTCAAGCACTTTGTATCTTGAGAACGGATGCCATCACAATTATTTTACTAAGCGGGCCCAACAAATTTTGCAGTGTTTCACCTATCCCAGTAACGTTTATGCAACATCCTGTATATTGGCGAATTCGAGGCTCTGTCTCCATATCAATTCTTTTTTCTTTGCAGTTGGCCCATCATGTTGTGACAGCCCTATATGTCTACAGGGAACAATACAAGATATTATAGCGAAGCTTTCAGTTGGTGAGTAATACATCAGGTTCAACACTGATAGAGAATATCTTAATATTTTAATGGTAGATCAATAATTCACTTTGATTATTTTCATTCATTAGTGGACCTACGAATTTGGAAGTCTGCAGATTGAATACAGAGTGAACCAAGTGAATACTCAGTCTGATCAGCTTAGATATAATGAGTTCACATAAGAAACCGGTTTTGTTTCACAAAATCTTACGACGGATTTTTATTGAGAATCACCTGATTCAACCCCTGTACCGATTATCATCATTCTGAAATGAAGTGTACGTGTGAGAAACTAAATCACATATCCTCGACGACACCGCAAAACCAAGTTATTGCAGAAACCAAATTTTTAGGAGACACTAAGAAATTAAAAATGTTTGGTTAACTGATCAGTTTTGATGGTAAATAGTCACAATCCACTCGATCATTATTATCCTCACGTTTGAATAGGATGCGCCTCTCAAAATTAAATCAACCTTAACTCTTTCGTTTGCAGAGATGTGAGAAATCGTTGAATCAAAAAGTTTTTTGAAACTACCCAAACTTTTATTTCGTGGAGTTGCTTCATGTACAGGTTCATTTTTTTCTGAAAAGGACATTAACTTCGATTTTTTGTAATGGAACATCATATATATTTCCTGACTTGTCGAAAGAGTTATTTTTTCTGATTTCAAAAATATATATGAGTTGCATATTTTCACTTACACAAGATCTTTTTTTTTTGTCGAAGTAAACTTGACATATATCAAAAAGAATTTAATTGCCTGTCAATTTGACGAAAACAACTGCATCTGAAAAGATTACGAGTCCGTAGGACGAGTTATTTTTTCTGGCAGTTTTTTGACAACCATGTATACCATGCACCAAAACTCTAGCGTAGCCACCACATTCTCAAATAAAACTCTTGCGCTGCCACCAATTATTGGAATAGCTCCTCATTGAATAATTATTAACACTAGCGGAGCCACCAGTTTTGCAAATATGAGAATTTCAGTTCATATGGGGACACTCTGCGCGCGTATAGCCATTCCGTTTCATCTATGGCTCAGTCAACGAAAAGAGAGTAACATGAACATCGAAGGTCATTTCTTCAAGTTGTTCTCGAATAATTCGAAAATCGCGACCTCTAGCAAAAAAATGACAGTATAAAAAATTGAAAGAAATACAATTTCCTATTAGAAAGTTCCCATCAGTATTTCGTATAGAATAAATAGTTCTTGAGATACAGGAGATGAAAAAATCGAGAAGTATCAAGAATAGATTTGTTTATGGATGTATGACAATTGATATTCGTCATGTAGGACGTTGAAAGACATTTTGAATTGAGAAAACCTAATCACGAATCTACAATTGAAGGTCTATAAAAATAACAAGTCTTCATCCTTCAAGTTCGAACCCCTTGATTGGGTGAAAGTATTGAGAAGGAATATCCTCAGATATAATTATGAGAGATAGTAATTTGAGGCTGTTGGTGACAACCTGACAACATTGAAATAGATTCAATATCTTGATTTTGTCAAGGGGCGAACGCAATAACTCCTGATCGAACAGAAATGACGATGATATTAATCTCGTGTTTTACTATACTCATAAAATCACTTTTTCATCATCTCAAATAACTGTGCCTTCTATCAGCCCTTCAAGTTCCCTTGGTGTGATTTCTTGGCATGCCTGAATTACTTTTGCCTTGAGTTCTTCACATGTGGTAGGCATACTTCTATAAACTACATTTCTCAATGTGCCCCATAAATAAGTATGACGGTGTGAGATCAGGGAACCGGGGTGGCCGTACCATAAGAGAGGTATTGGGACCTATCAATTTTCTGGGAAACTTCCTATTCAGCCATGCTCTTGATGCCCTTCAAATATTGAACAGGCGAACCATCCAATTGAAAGATTGATTTACCTCTCGAATTCAATGGCACTTCAGATCATTGGAAAATTAATTTTCCAGGAAATGAAAAAATGATTGGCCATTCAGATTATTCGCGAAAAAATAATAAGGACCTATTATTTCTTGATCGGGTATGCCACACCACACATTAATTTTTTGAGATACCTAGCCATTGCACTTCCCCTCCCAATGCGGATTCTCTTCCACCTCATCGCTGTTGAGAATTTTATTCATGAAACGACTCCTATCTTTGAGGTTAGCCACAAATTATGAGCGACGAGTTTCGCCGAATATAATATTCTATTCGGCGAATTTCGTCGCCGTCGTGTAATGTGTGGAGAAATTTGGGTTTGAAAGCATGCATTTTATGCATTTTCAAGCACCTACAAATTCTGCTACGGCTAATATTGAGTTGAAGTGATGAGTTCCTCAAACTCAATTTCGGATCGGCTCGAAATGCTCTCAAAATTGTTTCATCATCTAAATGATTTTCATCAAATTTCCTGACTTCTCTTACTTGTCCGGTATGCCTGATTTTGTTGTATACTCTGAAGACTGTCTCAGTGTGGATTAAATTTGCAAGCAGGTGTTTGCTTCTGAATTCATGAGCCGCTTCACGATATGACCTAGCGCCGTCTCCAACTAAAAGTAATATTTGAATTTTTCCTTCCAGAGATCGACGTGCCATGTTCAACACTCGAAAATAAATTCACCAATAACAAGCAGTGAGAATTCACGAACAACAGGACTAGCAGAATCAATGATAATATTAATAGTAATATAAACATAAACAATACAGAATGAGAAGAACAATTAATTATACTCTCAACAATATTGTCAAATTGGCGATAAATAGTCTATCGGCAACTGTTTTCTACGGCAAAGTCAGGGCATCCTCTGAATGCAAAAATTAGATAAGGACCCGATTCGATTCGCAAATTTCTTAGGAACAAACATACATAATGTGAAGAATACCTTCATTGATAAAATAATTCGTTCTCATTCAAAAATTAGACATTCCCGGGAACTGTCACTAAAAGGAGACATGAGGATTTGGTTATGGAAGCAAAAAAGCAATACTATCAAACAAAAATATTCAGCTCTAATAACGTGAATAAGGCTTGCTGGAGAGTAGTCTCCGAGATTTCCGGTAAACATAAGAAAAATTATAATATAGCATTGAAAGCTGAAAACGATATAATAGTGAATCCATCAATTGTGAGTGATATGTTCAATAATCATTTCCAACAAGCACCTATAAAAATATTGGACAAGATAAATAAACTAAATATTGAGGATAACAAAACCAAACTTGATTCTAAAATCGAAGAAAACCAATTTTTACTTCAACCATATACCGAAGTTGAACTCTATAATGTTCTTATGAAGAAACTCAAAAATACTACCTCTTCTGGTGCAGATGAAATCCCTAATTTTCTAGTCAAAAAGGTTCTTGTATATATTGTCAAGCCTATCACCTATTTAGTCAATTTGTCGTTTTGTTACGGAACTTTTCCAGACAACCTGAAACTTGGAAAAATAATCCCGATACACAAAAAGGGGGAAACACATAATATCGAGAACTATAGACCTGTGACTATCCCTATGACTTTCTCAAAAATCCTAGAATATGCCTATTTAGAGCGTCTACTTGCCTATCGTAGTAAAAATGACAAAATTCCTGAAAACCAGCACGGATTTCAAGAAAATAAAAGTACAATTACTGCCATTCATTCATTTTATGACAAAATCGTCAGCTTGATCAACACGGGCGAATGCCCTGTGGGGATTTTCTGTGATTTGACCAGGGCATTCGACTGTGTTGATCATACTATACTCATTAATAAATTACGAAAATTTGGTATTGAAGGTTCAGCGCTCAATTGGATTCAAACATTCTTATGCAATAGAAAGCAGTTTGTGAGTATTACAAATACAAATGAGATGAATTTTCGTCAAAACATCACATCTTTTTCACTTGATACTGCCGTAGGTGTACCACAGGGGTCTATAATGGGTCCAATATTATTCCTTCTATATGTTAACAATGTAGAAACTTCCTCTGAAAACGTGTCATTCACTCTTTTCGCAGACGACACTTCTTTGATAATATCTCATAAATCTGATGAAACTTTAGAATATTATTGTAATAATACACTCCTGGATATAAACAATTGGTTTTGCAAAAATTCCCTTTATATGAATAATGAGAAGACTCAATATATCAGGTTCCGCAGTAGTCACAAAACATGCACGACATTGAATATTAAATATGAAAATGAAAATTTATCCGAACAATCTTCTGTTAAATTTCTTGGTTTGAACTTGGACAATACTTTGAATTGGAAAATTCATTGTGATAGCTTGACTCGAACCTTATCTTCGCAAAATTTTCTTATGAGGAATCTGCGAGAAATTTTAACTCGTCAACAATTACTGATGGTATATTACGGCCAAGTCGAATCGCGATTACGCTACGGTATTTGCTTTTGGGGTTGGTCAGCTCACTCGGCTGAGGTATTTATGGCTCAGAAAAAAATTATTAGAACAATGGTCTTCAAATCACGTACTGATAGCTGTAAAACTATTTTTGAAGAATTGAAAGTTTTAACACTTGCATGTCTGTATATTTTTGAAATGTGTGTTTATGTTCATAATAACAAAATTCTCAAGTTCATAATTTTAACACTAGATCAAAAGATAACCTACACCTGCCTATTACTACAAAAACGCTCACATTCAAATCTCCAAACAACATGGGCCCAATGCTTTATAACAAAATCCCACAAAACATCAAATGTATTTCCTCGACCAAACAATTCAAAATAAAATTAAAAGAATATCTTTTGCTGAAATCTCACTATTCCGTCCATGATTTTTTGTGAACTGCTTTTTAATCATTACTTTACCATACTCACTTGTGATACTAGATTTAAGATAGATTATAAGTTTATATTGTGACGATTCCTATACAATGTAATATTGTCTGAAAGGAAAATAAAGATTAAGTAAGTAAGTAAGTAAGTAAGTAAATAAGGAAAATATCGGCCGTTGACGAGCAGAGTATATCACTGGAGATGACCATACTTGGTCATTACATTCATAGTATATCTCTCTCCCCAGCAAATTTCATCAGGTTCCTAACCCAACAATTACGTAAGGAAGGGAGTGTTTCCATGAAAAGTGAGACAAAAATAAATTTATCAGAACTGAAAAGTTTTTGAGGAAAAATAGAAGAAGTCAGTGAATTGGGCGTCCTGATTCTGAATACGAAATGTTTTTCTACCTTTTTTGCCTCCTAATATATCATTTTCCGAAAATTAGGGTGGTTCCACGGCTGTTGGCGAGCAGTGTATATCACTGAAGATAACCCCACTTCGTCCACGAATGCATTTTTGATACATCTATCACTCCAGCAAATTTCAGGTTCCTTACTCAACGATTACGAAAGATACAGGGGTGTTTCCATTATAGAAGTGAGACACACTGTATATTTATCTGAAAGATAATGCAGATTCTCAACTTCAGAACATTTTATTCTCAAATCCTCATTATACAGGGTGATTCACTTAAGAACCGACATAGAGCAGGGGCCTACGTCTATACCAAGTTGCTTCCCTAAGGAGTTATAGGCTTTGGAAGTGAAGTTATAAATTTTGAAAAAACTTGCAGCAACCAAATTTGGTACACTCTGTGGATGTATTTAGGGCGTTACTTGACAGTAACTAGAGTTTAATTGAAATTTGTGAAGGGGGTGTACCGGGTGGCGCACCATTAATATTCAACAGATTTTTTTATTAGATAGGGTGGATTTTAATTTTCGAAGAAGAATAAATTTATGCGTAAGAGAAAACGGCGATCATTTTGAACAATTTCTTCGATTTATCGATAAACAATTGTTTGTTCTGGTTGTTGTTTAAGTTTTTTGTGTTTATTTTGGTTAGTTGTTAATCCCAGTTTTTCACATTTCAGTATCTGTACTTACTTTACGTAACTTGTTACGTATCTAAATAATAATTTGCCAGCCAATTTCTACTGATCACATTAAATGACCTACTTTCTTGTTTGACGTTTATTTTGAAGCCAACTTTTGAATTTTTGTTGATTTTAAATAACACACCTAGAGCGCGCGTTTTCAATTATTCGAGTTTTTGATGAAAATGATGGGATTTTTCGAAAAATTACTGGAGTAAATAAAGTTTTAGGATTGAATTGCCCACAATACAAAGCAAAGATTTTTGAAATCCATCAAGGATTAACAAAATTCTGTTGAATATCAATGGTGCGCCACCCGGTATAGCCCCTTTACAAATTTCAATTAAACTCTCGTAACTGTCAAGTAACGCCCTGAACACATCCACAAAGTGTACCAAATTTGGTTGCTTCAAGTTCAAGAATAACGGAGATATTGATATTTTTCAAAATTTTAACTTCACTTTCAAAGCCTATAACTCCTTAGGGAAGCAACTTGGTATGGAGGTAAGTTGCGTTAAATTGACATATTTTGGAACCCCCTACATGCCCCTGCTCTAAGTCGGTTGTTATGTGAATCACCCTGTATGTGTGTTGAACATATGTAATTCGATATCCGTTGCGGCATATATTCAGGAAAAAAGTTGTTTTCTGTTGAAGATACCAAAAAATAATTCATATTTTAATCATATGGAGAATGATAATACTCAGATAATACTCAATGTATATTGATATATAGCTAACCTTTGTTCATAATCTATCTGAGAATATTCCTTCAATACATTTAGAATTTTACCTTTCACTTTGTAAAATGGTCGAATGAAATTTCACTCGGGTTTGAATTTATCTCATAAGAATGTCTTTCATTCCTGGGCTCAACTAAATTGCTTCAGGAAAACACCACTGGGGGTGTCATTCGGAATTTTATAGTAGTGGTGTCTGGGGGTAGAGGACATGAACATACCATTCAATCGATACTGATGGTTTTTCACTTCCCTCTCGATATCTGAATTGACCTATTTCTTCCGAAAATCGTAACCATGCCCTGTATATGGAAACAGTACTCCTAAACTGTGAAGAATGGTCTGTGCTTTGAAGATCATAAGAAAGTGTTGAGGATATAAGTAACTTGTCGATCAAATAGTTTCCTGATGTTGGTACTTACCTTTGTATGATATTGTCACGGATGAATAGATGGTTAGCCCATCCATATCGATTTATAAGGGGTTTGCTTGGCTTGCGACAGGTAATATTCAAATAGGTACTAATAGTTTGGAGGTAACTGAAAGTATGAGACTATATTATTATCCAAACATAACAATATTTATTGAAGCATAAAACATTGACGGTAGCGATGACAAATATAACTAAACAACAATGAATGAACATGATTTTATATGTTTGGTTTCTATTGTAGATACACTTTGTTGCTAATTTGACTGAAGATGGCCATTTGAATGGACGTAACATGTATCATCCTTATTGAAGCAAGATTGACTGCCTCCTTAGACATTAGAATTGTGGAGACGACTTTGAGTTTTCTTTCTTGATCATTCCACTTCACTTTGAGTATGGACTACTACAGAAGATTAAAAAAATGAATTTCATGTATAAATTTCAAACGGTTATCATGGTATCAACGATATTCGGGCAGGTGAATGTATTGCACCTTTCCATACGTAAACGGCTCTTCAGTGATTATGTTTTATACTGGATGGAAAACCTTTTTTCCGTTTGATGAAGGTATTTTTGACACAGGGGACAAATTTCACATTTTGCTTCCACCATTTGATTACTTTATCTTTTATCTACAAGAATGGTATACTGTATCTTTATCGATATCTTGTACTTTTCTAGAGAAAATCTCATTTTCAATCATGCATTCCAACCGTTTCGAAAGCAATTACAGCTCCATTTACCTATTTAATGAAATCAGTGTCGACAAAAATTAATCGAGCAGCAATCATTCCTTGGAACAAAGGCCCTTGGGTGACTGTTACCCTCCGTGCGTTAGGATCTATACAGGGTGTATCTAAAAACACCATGAAAATTCAAGGAGTGATACCTTGTGATATTTTAGGAAATAAAGTTCATATGAATATGTGTCCCAACTTCCTTCGTTTTCGAGATACATCAGTATATGAAAAATCGTTGTTTTATTCATTACTCAATTGTCTTTTCATCAATTCCAATAAAACGTCGTGGTTTCGTTGATAGTATTATGAAGCTCCAGTGGCGTCACAGTGGGTGAATTTATCGATATTTATGGTGAATGTCATGGTGAATGTCAACAATTGAAATGATCACTTCTTTATCTCCCCTCTGATTTTCCTATCTAACTTAGTTTTTGAGGAAACAATAAATTTTTGACTCCAAATTGAATGTAGGAGTTCTCAAGACTTCCATTGAAATTAATCAATAAACCCAATTACAATCACTTCGAAATTTAGGGGCCTTCTCAGTCTCCAACCATACTGAAGTTTGGCACCATGGAAGCTCATACAGGGGGTTAGCAATAGAAACAATTAATACTTTTAACTTCAACATCCTGTATCTCAAAAACAGAGCAAGTTAGGACACATGTTCATATGAATATTATTCGCTAGAATATCACAAGGAATCATTCCTTGAATTTTTTCGGAATTATTTAGATACACTCTGTATAACACACTTGGTACATGAATAACAGACCAAACGATGTCATCCGTAATCGTTCTATTTTTCATATACATAAACAGTTTTATTTATTTTTTCAAGGAATTCAATCAAACAACCAGGAACTGTCCATTAACCCTCTTCGGTACTCTGGTCCCTTCGACTATCACATCAATGTTTCGGAACTCAACTTCATAGTTGTAACGACAAATAATGTCTTCCAAGGATTTGCTGATTCAAAAGTGTCAGATGCTCAGTAAGTATAATCCATAGAACTCAAAGAACAAGGAGGTCATTATCGCTCTTGATGACCTTATCGTACATAGTATGCGAGCATGCAGTAGGGATGCAAAAGTGTCAGGTCGTCTTCAGTTATATTTGATCACCAGACATATTATCGTCCATTTTCATACCAAAATTACCTTTTGAACTGACGTTCCTATTATTGACACAAACAAAGCTATGTTGCTAGGCAACACTTTCAGTTCCCAGGAGCTGAAGTTGGACTCAAGCTCCTAGGAACTTAAAAGGATGTACTATAGGTCATCAAGAATGAACAACATTGTGTGGTTGGTTATTCGGGTTGGCACGCATACCTGATTTGCTCCAGATTTCGGCAGATTTGGCATTTCATGCCCATGCTGGAGATATAAATGCACCATATTTCAAACGAGTATTTTTGTTTTGGTCAGGAGAACCTTCACATACTTGCTTGGTCTGTATTCCATTCATTTTCGGGATCTGATTCATTGGATAGCTTATTTTTGAATAATCACAGCAAGCAATACTTTTTTGTCTCACACAACGAAATAGTTTAACTTCATTTGATCACCGAGCCAAACACAGAAAAATATAGTGGGAAATCAATGATTGCTATTATTATTTTCGATATGCTCACTAACCTAACATTTCCCACTCATTTTTTCTATACCTGGCACTGGCGCAACATTTGCTATTAGGGCTGACACCTGGTCCAAGTGAATTAATTGATTCATCGATCCAAAAGAAAACACAAATGGGTCACTCTATGCTATGTGATTGTAATTATATTGAAACTACAATTCGAAAATCTTTAAAAATTGAATAAACCTGATCTGGAAATGCAGGTAGAATATTCTCAACACACAGATTATTTGTTGCATTGAATATATATAACACGGCATCCAAGTGTCGTGTATAGTATTGAATTCGTGCCTGTAATATCTGATGATGCATCATGTCAACCCAAATTTTAATAAAATAAAGTCATCGTCCACCAATATTCTAATATAAAATAGTCTGAGGTCTTGCTTTCATCATATCCTTTTATTCACCTTCATTATCATAATAATCTGTCGAGTATGTCACATTGGTGGTTACTTCCCATATTTATTACAGGTAATTCTTTCGGTTGCAGAAAAAATAGCATGTCTCTTTCATCTTCATTGTACTTGCGCCTCGCAAATGGAAACCTCACTTGTCAAACAAAGTGTCACTCTCGATCCTAATAAAACAATCCACCATTCTTTATATCATGAATGAATCAAATAATAATATGTAGGTATGAAATATATGTTCATGAAAGCTTGCAACTTTTGACTATTTCGAGGTGGGCAAATTGTACTCAGAATTGAAAAATTGTTCCTATTCGTCATCTGGTTGCCCCCTTATACGAGCAACCCTCAGAAGTCTTCAACAGACTCTTTTGTGAGCAAAAAATGACGGAATGTTTCAATTTTGTTCAGTTGGTATGTTAAATCAAATATTCATCATTGTATTCAATTTCGAAATGTAATCAGCAGATTTTTTCATCGAATAGGGCGTCTATGCATCCTGAATACCTCTTTCAGGATGCAGATTGGATCCATTGTCCAAGGTGCAATAATAGTGATAACTAGCATAAAATATTTTCCACTGTTATTTGGCACTGTTTCATGTTATAATGTCGATATGAATGTTATGGATGGCTGGGAAGAGTATTTCCAGCTCTACTCAATGGTATGATGGTATGAAAGCAAATATGGCGCCGATAAGGAAAACAAACGTTGCATAGTAAATCTCCGAAACTAATGAAGATAGGATACATTTTTGACAGTCCCAACTTCTTTGCAAATTGCAATTTTTTTGGAATATTGACTAAGAAGATGAATAAGAACAAAATCAGTGATTTCCAGTTTCTCATAATATTACAGAATGGCTGAAATTTCTCGAGTTCACGGAACTTCATATTGAAGAGTTCTAAATTACGCAACTTAGGAAATAGTAGGTACTTTCCTATACAGGGTATATCTGAATAACACCGAGAAAATTCAAGAGGTGGTTCCTTGTGGTATTTTAGGAAATAAAGTTCATATAAACATGTGTCCTAACTTGCTTCGTTTTCGAGATACAGGGTATTAATATTTTCATGAAAAATCTTTCTGCTATTCATTTCTCGATTGTCTTTTCATCAGTTTCAATGAAACGTTGTGGTTCTGTTAATAGTAATATGGAGCTTCTTCTAGTGCAATTAGATTCGAAATAATATTTCCGGTTGCGTCACAGTGGGTAAATTTATCGATTTTTATGAGGAATGTCATTGTACACCACCGGTTTTTCTGAGTTTCATATGTTTATTTGATTGAACTATTGAAATAACAACTTTTTTATTCTCTGTGAGATTTTTGTATCTTGCTTAGTTTTTGGGGGAACAATAAAAATTCGGTTTGACTCATTTCTCAGTCTCCAACAATACTGAATTTTGGCACCATGAAAGCTTATTAGGGAGGTTAGAAATAAAAACAATTAATACTTCCAACTTCCAACATCCTGTATTTCAAAAACGGAGCAAGTTAGGACACATGTGTATATGAACTTTATTTGCTAGAATGTCACAAGGAAACACCCCTTGAATTTTTTCGGTATTATATAGATACACCTTGTATATGAAATCGGCGAGACGCTGTATAGTGCAATAACTTAAAACACTACCAATAATGCTGATAATTCAAGAAACCATCAAATTCCTTAAACTGATTGTATCGAAACAATGCAACAAGCAAGCGTTGCAAGTGTTGGACGTATACACGTCGTTAATTATTATGGTCTATAGGTTGTATATCAAATTCATTCGTGGTGAATCAGGATACCTTAATTCATTGAACTCCTGGCATGTTCTGCTGACATTATTGTTATTCTCAACAAAATTGACGAATAAATTCATCAAAATCTTATTCGAGTAATAATTTTAGGCCATAGAGTACTTCTAAACCTATGGAACTTCATTCACAGTATGACAAAAAAGCAAACTCTGTTAGATTGAAGTTCATATTGCCTATATATACTATCCAAGTCATTTTTCAGTTATAATTTTATTAAAGTCAAAATCATTATATGAATAACTAACAAACCGTACGAAATAGGTATAGAAAACTCAAACACAGTTGAATGATAAAATGTCTCAATTTTCGAAATCAGTAATAATATACAGGGTGTCTCATTGATAAAAAACTGAGTTTGTGTCATTTCTAAGAGTCCCTGAAAGGAAGTTACTTCTGAACCTCCCTGTTTGTTGAAATTGAAATCCAGTTCCTCGGCAGAATACTTGATGTTTTTATGTAGCTTTGACCCAGAATTTGCACGAAATTTTCTCAAAATAATTCCCATCGCGAAAACTGTCGAATCATCTGCAAAAGTTTATGAAAGATCTCATGAGGATTCTGAAAATTACATAATATATACCAGCAGTTTCTTTCGATATAACAAGTAGCTAATTCTTTCTGATATAAGCAGCAGTACTGTTTAAATGAGAATATCTTAGACAAATTTATGCACGATGATCTTTGAACTTTATAGGGATTTCCTTTCGTGCGCTCCAAGCGATGAAAAAAATAAAAAAAAGATCATAAACGCACACAAAATTTCGAAATGAAAGGTCGTTCGGTTCTGCAGATACTCCAAATGTTCCATCCACCGTGAAACGCCTTGTATAGGTACTGGGTATGTTCACCTAACCAGTGAAAGACACTTTCACAGTCAATAGTCATTTTCCTCGCGCTTAACCAGGCAAACCAGGTCAACTTTATCATGAAGTTATGGTTACTTTATCATTATCACGGTTTACTTGTGGAGCTTGACATATGTCAGTTTGACATTTGTTGTTATCTATCCATTTATTTATTCATTCGTTAATAAAGTAGATTCGTTTCTGTTTCTGAACTTGCTGAAGTTGATTTTCTTCCCGAAGTTGTATCTGGTTATTGGCATAATGTAAACAGGGAAAGTCATAGAAAAAAATAAAGCTCAGCAGCAAACACAAATGAACAGGCCCATTGGTTATTTCCCTTCCTGCTTTCAGTAGCCATACACCAAATGAGGAATTCATCATCTATAACGAAAAGATACTATAGGTATTAGTTACTTACCTACTTCAAATCTAAGGCATACATTAACTGAGGAATTTATCGGCCATAACGAAAAGATACTATGTATGGGTATTAGTTACTTACCTACTTCAAATCTATGGCAATTGGATCAACTAGCAATTTTCAATCGAACCTTTTTTATTATTTTCCGTAAATAATATGATAAGATCTATCAAGAAATACTTCGTATGAATTCATATTCATCTCATTAAAATAGGTAATGATTTTATATTCAATCACAACCTCAGTTTAAGATCCCAATCTAGTGACCAACTACTCCATGAACTACCTCAGTGAGCTGGTTTGTGTGGTTGATTGACTATTACGTCATAGTTTGGAATACACTTCGAGGAAAATTGACTGGCTTACTTATTGTTGACCTAATGTGTGTGATTAACATCAAGGAAAAATGGCTAAGTTCTGTCATGGTTGGGTCCACAGGCACATGTTGAAGAAGTGCCTAAATCTCTCGAACCATTCCCAACACGTGATAGGTTGAGATTCGTGTTTTTTGATGATTATTTTTCGCAATAAAATTGTGGAGGCTGAGTTTGATCAGGGAGTTTTATTCTGGTCCACTACTAGCATGACTTTAGCCTAATATGGTCATTGGTGTAGTGATTAAAGGCTTCCAAGGATGTTTTTCCTTCCTCTCCAGGCCCCGAGGGTCTCGTTGATAATTTTAATAATTTTTTCTACGAGCGAATATGCATGCGTCCATAATGTATCACGTGATTCACTGTGACCAATCTGACGATGAGGTTCGAGAATGGTTCGAGAACTATAGGCTCCCGTCATGTTAACCCAACCATGACCATGAAGAAAGAGTAAATTTCGTGCTACTCACCGTTGGTTGTGGGAATTTTCAGGTTGAGCGACGATGGACCAAACACTGTGATATCCTTCAACACTAGGACCCCTCATATCAAACACACGGGAGATTATACGATGGATGGAGTACTAAAAAAATTAGAAGGCTTTGATGGTCAAATACCTCTCAGAGAAAATGGAGTAGCTACATTCACATACAGTAAGCATTAGCAATAAGCATACATTGATGTGAGAGAATGAGGAAAATCAAATCATTCACAGGGTGGGCCAAATTGGACACTTTCAAAGGAAAAGTCCTATTTCCAAACTAGATGGACGAAAACTGATGTCGGTGTCTGATGGTCAATTTTTATGACAAACTTCATAATGAAAACCGCACGTCGATATCTATCATCGTTTCTGAGTTACAGCATATTTTCCGAAAATGTGCATTTTCGAAAACCTGCTGTAACTTTTTTTCTGTCAAGAATTTGTTTTGTCTTTGAAAACATTTCCAAAGCACTTTTTCACGTATATATCAATAGTTAATAACGGAAAAATATTTTTTTCAAATAAGACACCCTGTATATTTCTGCATATTTCAATAGAGCTTGAAATCACCATTCCCAAAATATAGCACACTTGATATTTCATTAAAGTCATTTTTGAAAAGCAGAGCTTCTTTGGTTTTCACATCTAAACTTTATAACGCCCATCTTGAACAAGTATAGGCTTTTGACGACGCGGTGATAAACAGGAATCGAAAGTTTACTGTGCTGTCAAATTATGATCTCTGAGTAATATTAGAGCAGTAAAGACGCTCCTCAATTCGTGGTTTTCGTTCAATTCACAAACACATTTTCAATGAAGTTTGAAAATTATAAAAAATGGGATATGATAGTCTGTTTTATACAAACCGGGGAAAATGCAGAAGCAGCAAGCGATTTGTACCACGAGAGGTATCCAGAGAAAAGACAACCATTTAGAGATATTTATGCGAGATTGCGACGCAACCTAATTGATGATGGTCAATTCGAGAAGGAAAATCCAAAAGTATATGAACCAAATAGGGATAGGGATTTGGAAGAAATAGTTGTTTTAGGAGCTGTTGAAAATAATCCCAGAATTACAACACAAAATTTGGAAATAACAACAGGCCTACCAAGAAGTAGCATTAGACGGACTTTAAGAAAGCATAAATTCAATCCATACAGGACCAGAAAAGTTCATCACCTCATACCAGGAGATTTTGAACGCCGCATGAATTTCTGCCAATGGTTTCTAGAGAATTGTGACCGAGTGCGTGATTTTCCGTTAAATTGTATTTAGACAGACGAAGCTTATGTGAGCAGTGCTGGTATTTTCAACTGGTACAATTTGTATACTTTGTGTTTAGTCAAACTATCAGATGCTAGGTTTTGTATGTAGTTTTAGTTGTGAAGAGGAAGTGCGCGAATTGAAATTGCCTCTGAAGGAAAGGCATTGGAAAATGGAGGGTTGTCAAAAGAGATGAAAAATGAAGGAGGATTTTTGACAAGCTGCCAAGTAAAAAGAAAGTTCATCATCAAGAAAATAGCGGACGATTTTTGCATGAAACCAGTATTCTGACGATACTGGATATCACAGAGTGAGGAGCGGAGTTGATAGTTGATTCACGGCCAGTTTACCGGCCTACAGGGTGCACCCAAGGAGCAGCGAGTCTAGTGGCGAGAAAGACGAATCAATATTGTGAGTAGCAATATTGCTTTTCTTGTATAGTAGCAGTTAGAAGGTGAAAGGAGTTTCCAGGTCTACGATTGCATTTCTTTTGGATCTTCGTCATCAATCTACAGAGTGATTTCAATTATATGAACTTGTTCATGGGGGGTTAACCGCAGATAGCGCTATAGACTTGAGATAGGGTTTAGGTTTAGAATCTGGAGGGTTGGCCATTGTAGAGAGTAAATTATTGAGTGTCATTTCTATCTATTTCATTGTAATAAACGTTTTTAATATACTTCATTGTTTATTCTGGTGGAAGCAAGAGCAGAACCATCAATATATTCTCATTGAGTTACCTACAACATAGGGCTCTTTTTCAACTTGTGCACAACAGAATCCTCCTTCTTTTGTGGAGCAGAGAATTCAAGGAAGATTTGGATTTGGTGTATGGCAGGTGTTTTTAGGGGTAGAATTATCGGCCCGTATATTTATAATGACACTCTCACCTCTCAGAGGAAATTTTGAGGAATCAAATAGAACCCCTTCTTGACGAATTGCCTCCCCCTCACAACACTGCAATCGTCCACAATTTTTCAGCAGCGAATTTTGGCAAACATTGGATAGCCAACCAAGGTCCCAACCGTTGGCCGGCCAGGTCACCGGACCTAACGCCTATGGATTTTTACCGCTGGAGAAGAAACAACAAATTTTCGATAGGGAAAAAGTTACAGCAAGTTTACGAAAATGCACATTTTCGGAAAACATGCTGTATCTCAGAAACGATGATAGTCACCGATATCAGTTTTCGTCTATCTAGTTTGGAAATAGGACTTTCCCTTTAAAAGTGTCCAATTTGGCCCGCCCTGTACAGTGATGTGGAGTATTTCATAATACTGTCGAAATATGTCAATGGGACACACCACACACTGAGGTTTTGTAGGTGCGTTCCACTAATGACTAAAGCGTAACAACGATTAGGTATACTTACTTTATACCAATTTTGCTGTTTTATTCAGCACCATATTCGCTACGGTCGAGCCCTTTTGGACTCGAAATCGTCATCGTGTACATTATTGATGAATATCAGAGGTGGTTCTGCGTGATAGTCCTGGTATACTGAGTGTGAAGACGCAAAGTGAAATGGAATCCTGATCGATTATTAAAACAGGACACGAATGAAATAAGTAACAAGCATGACTTCTCAAGATAAAGTAGACAACGCTCTATTCAGAATAATTCTAGGTATATATTGGTCACCTGAATAACGTCCTTAAAGTCCCTATTTCCATCTTTTTCGCAACCAAAATACACAAGAGTTTGTATTTCATTTTCTTTTTGAAGTAATACTTTCCATGATGAATCTCCACGAGAAATTCGTTTCAATTTTTTCCGTATTGAAATGTAAAATTTAGGGACACAATCAATCACACGATTCAGGAATTCTGATGCGTTAGGAGTTTGTCTCACTTCCGATGGATAAACCCTTGTAATATACCTTAATTATGGAGGAATAGTTCTGAAATTTGCAGGAACGAGAGGGTCACCGAAGAGATACATAATTCATGGATGAAAACCCAAAGTCATCTCCACAACATTCATTAGAATGATCAAAGATCAATCTCAAGGACACATGTTTCGGGCTTATATAAGCCCATCATCAGCCAATAGAAAATATTAAAGTTCTAGAAAAATCAGTGTTGACTTAGGATATAGATGCAAGGATTACTTAGTACTTACATGGAGATGATTGGCTTCCTGCAGAAATAGAAAATGCATGCGTGAGTCGAATATTTTATAACTGCATTGCATTCACGGATGATAACGTCATGCATTTGTCCTGGTTTTCCATGTCATGGAATATCGTGAATTTTTTGAAAAGTATACAGAGCTCTGAGGAAAAAACAGTTCACGACAGTGGACTAGTTAAGGTTCGTACTTCGAAATGAAGAAATACATTTTTTTATGGAAGCAGGCCCAATTCAGAGCGCTATTTTTTTTCATGAACATTTTGTTTGTTTTTGTCATGAAAGTGGTGACTGTTTATGCTTCACAGCCTTGGTCTTTACCAAAAACTCAATTCGATAAAGTAGAAATATCAACATATCGCCATGATTTCGATTTTGTCTCGCACTCCATGTTGACATCTCAAAAAATAATCCTATACCTACCTCTTCTTCCAATCTTCCTAGGAATCAAGTCGTGAAAACCATCAATTTTTCTCAAAATGGTCTAGAATTTTTCAAAAAAAAAACGATACTTTGTAGACATTGAGAATGAGATTATCAGACTGGCGGCCGTAAGACGAAGCTAGCAACAGAGGAAATCACGGACAACGATTGACAGAACGACAAGTTTGACAATGACATCTGCTGACAATGCGAATCGAATAGAAATATTTTTTCTCCGATTGGCAGCAAATATTAATTTTGCTGACACATATCAATCAGCAAAGTATTACTTTTCCTGCCTAGGCAGCAAAGTGATTATACTCAATGGCAACAAATTCAACTCTATATTTTTTGCCACCTCTCTTTCAAATTTTCTCGAAACAAGTGTTATTCACTTATCGAGTATCTGTCATTTATTCATGTGTATTATTTGTTAGCTCATGTATATTTTCATATTTAAATTATGAGAATAAATGATATTATTATTATATTATATTATATTATTTCTGGAGGAGTAAGTACTTCCAGGTCGCTATCACTGTCCATTATATAATAATTCAAATATACCGATATTTTTTCGCACAACTGTCAGAAATTCCATGAATTGTCAAACTATAATTATTATGGGCATTTCCATAGCAACCAACCATTCCAACAACTGCGATTTCTATCAAATTTTATTTTAAATGAACACTACAGGAAAAATAAAGAGAATGTGGAAATTGAAATAATTTGCGAATACAATATCCTCCTATATCAATGAACAATCGAAGAAAAAATTATATTTTCAACTTGGCAGCAAAGTAGTACTTTGCTGCCTAGTTGAACAAATAACTATCCTTTAAACAATAAGTTGTGTATACATTTATAATTATGAAAAGATAGATGATCAGGTTGAAGTAGGAACTGAACAGAAATTGAAAGAGGAAGAAGAACTATTATTGCACAGTATGATGAAAATGAAGAAAAAAGGGCAAATAACTATGTTGAGACAGTTTATGAAAATTTCAAAGTACGGAAATTATGATTTCTTCCAAAAATGGTTCGATCATCGAGTCATACAAGTGATGTCAGGGTTATTGATACATTTTTGAATTTCTGAAATCTCTAGGAGGGTTAGCCGTGGATCTTTGTTACAAACGTGAATAATTCTCATATCGGAATTGACATCGAAAGAATTATTAGAATCAGTATATATTATAGAATTATAGGAATCTCCTCCCGTGCGCTCCAAGAGATGATGTGATTCAGGAATTGCATCCCGTACATCACAGAATCGATAGGTTCTAAGGCAACTGTAGAACGCCTGGAATCGACGGGTTCTACAGCTGCTTTAGATCTATGTATGTTATAATGCACTTCCGGAGTTTTTTAAGAACATCACAAAGGAGCAAGTTATCGAACATGGAGTAAAACAATTACTTTTCGAAATAAGCCGCCCCTATATATACAATCGATGACTCCTTTTCTTATCGAATATTGAAATGTTTTGTAATTTTTATTGTTTTCATCATTGCTCACTCTATTGCTCTTATCCCTTTTGTTATTTATGGAAGTCATATATTTCTATTTCAAACTGTATTTGATATGTACTGACCTGTCCAATTGCTTTTTTGAGCTCATCTCAATGGATTGTCATGTCCTGTCTTCAATTAGATCGTAGTTCGAGTTATCGAAACATGTTCAAGAGTTTAGGGAAGAACAACAGAAGATAGTTCACTTTTTACTGGTTTATTATAGAATAGTTATTAGTTCTTTCAGAGTTCAAACCGGAATGTTCTCTGTAACTACAATACCTAATTGATAACCTACCTAATACTATAACTATAAACAATAAATTGATGAATAATCTAATTCTCGTAACACTTTCGGAAAAGCTGATTTCAATGATATAATTAAACAATATATTATAAACATCCACTACAGGATCAATATAGACTAATTTAAACTGAACTAAACAATACAGTGGTCGCTTTACGCTCTCAATAAATCCCCTGAAGTTATGGTAGACAGAAATACGAAAAAACCTTGTACTTTTGATACAAACGTTCTTCATTTTACCCCTTCCAGATAACACAGAGTTTCATCATGAAATCATCTTGGACACCGAATACAGACACGAAAAACCAGTCTTGAGAGTGCGATCGTACAGGGTGAAGCTGCAGCACGCCGAAGCGTACACTGCGACCTTCAGCAACCTCTTCGGCGGCAAGGACAACGTCAGGTCGAAAGCTTACTCTGGCTACATCAGCAAGTCCCTTCTAAATATTGTCAAGCAGATAATGCCGGAAATAAATGGCTCCTACATCAAGGCATTTGGCAAGCTCGTTCGGGAACTTATCAATGGCACTCCGGCAGAAAAATTGTGTCCAGGCAGGCAAAGAAACTGATGCTATTGAAGATACAAAATAATTTGTTCTGAAATGTTTTATAGAAACTCGATTACTGCATATATTTTAGAGAATTTTTGTCGAATGCGTCTTATTTCCTGCAAGCCTCCAGAATCAATTATCATTACCATCTAGCCAAGTATTAGATGAAACTTTTGTGAGCTCACTTGTCAATAAGTGCTCGTTAGATCACTACTTCATATGAAACAAGGTGATCCTTGTCAGAAATATTTCATAGAGACCCTCGAAACATATGAGAATTGATTTGGACTGTGAAACAGTAATCCTCCTTATAGGGGCATATAGGGGCATTTAGGAGATCGAAATTGCCGAATGACGAGTCTCGATGCGCTCGCATTTCTGCAGATAGATTTATATTCAGACTCCACATTGGCATTCATGAGTTTGAAATGTGTTTTGTATGTGCATTCCTAATTAGTTTATATCGGGAGGTATTGTAAAGCTCTATGAGTATCAAGTTTCGCAGATACAGTCTTGATCAGTTTCTCATAACAATGTTTCTATATTTCTCATAAGTTCTCCATCAGAACTCCTTATTAAAAAACTGTGGCATTCATGACTTTGGAATATGTTTTGGATATTGTACATTCATGGTGAGTTCTACTGGCAGTTTTCCACGACCTCTTTCACTAAAAATTGTGGAATGATAATTTCCAATTGACGCATCTTCACGGACTCTAGATAAGTTTGATCTGTGCTCTGCCAAAATATCTACAATCAGATCCTCATGGCTTCTTTTGAAATTTGGAAATAAATGCACAATGAGATCAATAGATTAGATTAGATTTGGAATGAGGCCTTCGGGCTATCTGCCTCCACACTGCGACCTTTTCAGATCTATTGTGCCTGCCCTCAAAATGGATTAGAGTTCTTCGGCTAGCCCCGCCTTCTCTATGAGACTCCATAGGCTAGCTTTCAGATCTCTTTTGTATCTCTGGGCTCCTGGTTTTTCCTCACCCAGCGTAAGGAACCTTAGTCTTGACAAGCCCTCACAGTGGCAAAGTATGTGTACTGCTGTTTCTTCCTCTTCTTGACAGAACCTGCATAGCAGTCAGACCTATCGTACTCATGTGTTGGGCCTACAATGCCCTGTGAGAAGTCCCACTAGTATTCTAGTTGAACTTCGTTTCTGGCTTAGTAGATATTCTGTGAATGTTGGCGATGGTTTTTTAATAAACTCTTTTGCCTGTCTCATTCCTGGCGAGTTGTTTCACCATTCTTGAGATTTAGTTAGCATCCATGATTTGATACTAGTCTTTTGTATAGCTTTCGCAATACCACAGAAGGGTTCTGGGCCATTAAGAGCTTTGTTTGCTCCTGCTCGGGCAAGTGAGTCTGCCTCTTCATTGCTCTCGTACCCTGTATGTGCTGGTACCCATGCTAGAGTCAATCTGTTCTGAATCCCCAGTGCATTTAGGGTTTCTGAGATCAATAAGTTCGAAATATATTTCGCAGTTATATTTTGATGAATTCATAATAGCAACTTCCTAGCACCTCAAAAAATATGAAGTGTGTTCTGCAGATGATTGATTGATTGATTGTTTCAAAGCAGGATGACCAGTCAGGGTTCGAAGCCAAAAACTCTGCAGCCTTTGGGTCTTTTGTATTCCTGATCATGTATACCGGGTGTCAACGAATCTATTAGACAACTCATAACATCTAGACCATTAGGTGTATCAAAATGAGATTTGATATTGGTAAATGGTATGTGAAGAGGAGAGTTTTCATATATTTTTCACTTTCCGGTTACCTCCGGTTTCACCGGAAATGGCTCCGGTTCTAGATTTTTAGAGGAAACAACCTGTATATTGTAAGATTTTTGTATTTCTGAGACAATTCTAGATCAGAATGAGACATTTTCGATAGTTTTTATGCCTACTTAATATTTCCAGAGTCGGCAGGCCGTGTAATATGTATCACTGACCTCTATACCCATGATACTGCTACAGTAGACGAAAGTGTTGAAGACCCCATGCTCGCATGATAAACGACTGCTCTGTCGTCCATTTCAACCCGCCTGACTTGAGGAAAGCAAAAGTCAGTTCTTTGGATGATCCCTGGTCTCCAATGGTCTTGAAGCATGGGCTTATCCATGTGAAGCTGCAAGATCGAGCTTCCTCACTTTTGCAGCTTTAATGCGGGCCTCTCATCATCCGAGCGGGCTCTAGCTCAGTTACTCGAGTCCTGAGCCTCGCGCTCGGAGTTGAAAATCAGAGGCAGGTCTACACCTCCCCCAATCTCAGTCAAGTACTGTATGCGTAACAGCAACAGTAATTTTCAAATCACAATATTCACACAAAATTGCGACTTGAACATCTACCCTGAAGAAGGTTGAGTAGTGTGATTTTTGTACTGAAGGTTACAGTTTTACAGTTTCCGATATATCAAAAAGGTTATGTAACTGTGTAACTACCACCCTCTACGAGAGTCAGATATAAACACAAATGCATGTGATGTTTCATTTTCCAAAACATATTCATACGTAATTTCATCACAATGTTACCAGCAATTTCGTCATAATGGGCTTGTATCACAAAAAATTTTCATTTCATAATTCGATAGAACTCACCCGAACTAGCTCACCACCGCAAACCGTTTCTTGCTGTGAGCTCCCTACGTTTTATAAGAAATTATTGAAATCCCCGATTTTTCGGACCTCTGAAAACGAGGCGATGCTGTGACGTCAAAACCCTAATACTGAAACAAGACTATTCCAGACAGAGATGAATGATACATGATTTCTGACGAAGCATCAAGATTGGTGAAACAGCAAGTTGATTTTTGGGACAAAGATAATAAGAACAAGAAGAAGATCCATTCTTACCTCTATAAACTTTTTGCAAACCGCGAAACTTTCGAATATTTAATTGAAATATTTGGACAAAAGTATGATTAAGAAATGTTTTGAGCCTATTTGCAATAATAGCGACAGATATTCTAAAGAAAAATTATTCTTGTGCGTTTCCGAGGATCCTGAACAGAAAAAAAATGGTTCATCGCAGTGAATAAAGATTTTCCCTTCAGTAAACAGTTATATTGTTGCGAGGACCATTTTGATGTAAGTTGAAATTTGTATCGACAATTTCCAATGTTCTGCTGATGTTGAATATCCTTTCAAGTGGACAATTTTCCAATACAACTATAATAGGTTCAAGCAATGAAAATTGAATAAATATTGTGGAACTTTCCTTTCAGATTTTCTATTCCTCACTACAGCAGTGAGGAACTGTATGTTAGAGACATAAAAATCATTAACCATTTCCAAATAAATTTTTGGTAGATTATCTGATGAGCCTTTTACAAATCCTGATTCAATTTTCATGTTTGTATTCAATATATTAATATAAGATAAATCAATATTTGGAGGTTAATTTCATTTCGTGTCTTTTTTCATTTTAGACGACATGAGACATGACATAAACAACTTCGGAATCGGAATTCGAGACTCGATGCAGATGCTGCTCCATGTAAAACGTATCGGATTTTTATGAAATTGTAATGATGCAAATGGTTTTGAGATTGGGACATCTCGTTGTTTAGAGATTGTTTATATTTCAATGATTCAACCTACAATCGACAACTTGAATATATTTTTCTGCAGTGTGGTAGTGGATATCAAAAGATATTTCAATACCGATTTCGATCTCTCGGATATTTTGTTTGGATGATATGGCAACAGTGATAAGTGTCACACATGGGTCACGCTCATTGGTTCCAGAGTGAATTAGCGCGAGATCACAGTTGAAAGAATTAATATAATGGCGAGATGAGGTTTCTACGTCATGAGAGGGTCCGTTTTCAGGAGGTACTAAAATTTATGTCCAAAAATAAAACATTCCAGATAATTTTTCGATCGAATTATGTATCATTATTTATGTATAAAAGGATCGTTATAAACATGGTTTGAGTTGAAAGTTCTACTAAGGTGTACACGCCCATTGTGAGAAATTTGCTTGAAAATTGTTTTTTCAAAAGGATCCCGTTACGACGTTACGATCTTTTTATGGCATACCCAACTCATTTTGCAGTTCTGTACCTGTCCACACTGTTTGAAAGATTTAAATGAATTTAGTGGGTGTTTCTTCAAACACAAAATCAACCAACCTGCCTCGTGGCAGGCAACTGCAATTAATGAAATTGAAATGTTTGACAACGTTTGGATCTCTCATAGAGGGGATATGATTTTCTCACTCGAATTCAGAAACACTTGTAATGAAAGGTAATCTCGACTAGTCAACGCTACTCATTTGTTTCTACAATAATTATGAAATTTCAAGAGATAGTCAGCAGCGATAGTGATAATTAAGAACCATATAAATATGCCAGTAAATTTGTTCCTTGTTTATGTTATAAAATTCAGTCAAGATGATACCTCCACGATCCATATTTTTACTATTAGTTTCATCTTGCATCCCCCTTATCAGAGCACAGGGACGGGGTGAGTTGTTATTAATCAGACTATAAATTTTCTACAAATGTCAAAAAATGACTTCAAGATTCGCGAATTGATAACAATATGCGTAGTGACCCTTTTTCCATTTTCCTACGTTACCACGGACACGCGGGGATCTCGAAAACGGTTGAATGGGGAAAAAGTTGCGCATTCGGAGGCTCATACCAACAGCTTTCGAAAATTTTCAAAATTTACTCTAGTTTTTCAGTTATATCGAAAAAAGTGAATTTTTGGAATCTCTTTTTTTTTTCAGTTTATTATTAGAGATACAGGAAAACTGAAAATACTTTGTCATAGCAACTTTTGATGACGTTTAACGTGGTGATACCGATTTTTCTATGCGACGTTTCGTATTCGTAGAACTATCATCAACTTTTGTTTTTTAAATACGGCCCTGATAATTCTTTCACAGATTCTGGAAGATTTTTCTATTTTGAATTTAACCATGTATTATACAAGGTGGTTTGAATGTATTTTGAACTATTTTTAGCCATCATCAATGTTTTTTTCGAAATTCCAAAGGAAAAATGCCATCAGTTCCACTTATTTTTAAGGAAAATTAGCCAACAAACTAATACCTCATCAACTAGTTCCGATTGATGGACTTATAGGAATAATTAGTTCGAAAACTTTAATTATGACAAGCTCCTTCGGATTAAAATATGAATACAATTCATAAACAATTCGAAGCGCTGCATTGAATAATTAAGTGGATTTTTTTTACTTTTCAGTATTGAATGACTAGTCCATCAATGTTCGACACTGAATAATCAGAAATAAGTGAAACTGATGGCATTTTTCCTTTGGAATTTCGAAAACAACATTGATGATGGCTAAAAATATTTCGAAACACATTCAAACCACCTTGTATAATACATGGTTGAATTCAGAATAAAAAAATCTTCCAGAATCTGTGAAAGAATTATCAGGGCCGTATTTAAAAAACAAAAGTTGATGATGGTTCTACGAATACGAAACGTCGCATAGAAAAATCGGTATCACCACGTTAAACGTCATCAAAAGTTGCTATAAAAAAATATTCTCAGTTTTCCTGTATCTCTAATAATAACGGAGAGAAAAAATAAAATAGAGATTCCAAAAATTCACTTTTTTCGATATAACTGAAAAACTAAAGTTTTCCTGTATCTCTAATAATAACGGAGAGAAAAAATAAAATAGAGATTCCAAAAATTCACTTTTTTCGATATAACTGAAAAACTAAAGAAAATTCTGAAAATTTTCGAAGGCTGTTGGTATGAGCCTCCGAATGCGCAACTTTTTCCCCACACGGAAAAAAAGGATTTGTTGCATCAACAAATTATTTATGCTTGAATTATTTTTGTTGGACTAAGCAATTTTTTGTTGAATCAACCAGATACATGATCATTTCATGAAAGCAGCTTGTTCAAATCAAGAATATAGTCTAATTGAATCAACAGTATAATATCAATTCCATCAACAAAATATATGGTTTCATCAAAAACAATGTATGTTGATCCAAGATAATGTCGATGTTGATCCAACTATAAACATTTTGTTGATTTGATCAAACAATGATCATTTTGATGGGAATATATCTTTGAAACAACATACAAGTTTTCTTATTCCGATGTAGCAATGAACTTGTTTCGAACGGATCATTTGCTTGAATAGAGCAACGAAATATGTAATATCAATGAAATATTTTGTTCATTCTACATCAACTTATATTTCCGCCTTTAGATGGCGATCATTTCGCCCCGTCTATGCCTGCCTCGAATTCATTATATACGTGAAGCCTGATTCTTCGTGTTTGAAATATCAGCTGGATGAATCGAACTTAGGATGAGGAGAAGTAAAGACTGAAGATCTATGCTAGAAGTCGGCTTGTTTCCTAGTTTTGTTTATTCTCTTGATGTGAAATTTCAGAAAATTCCCGAATATTGAATTTGGTTCGCCAAAATTATTTGTCGAATGGATATATAGTTCCTCTTGAATCAACAAAATATTTCATTGAATCAACCAAATATTTCATTGAATCAAACAAATATTTCATTGAATCAACCAAATATTTCTTTGAATCAACCAAATATTTCGTTGAATCAACCAAATATTTCGTTGAATCAACCAAATATTTAGTTGAATCAATCAAAATGATTGTTTGATCCAATTCAATATCTCTTCATATACAATTCGTGAATGTGCTTGATTGAAGAGGATCCAGAGTTAATGCAAGACATATTTACTTGATTCAAACTTCAAATTCGCTCTGAAACAAGATTAAGATTTACTCATTTCAAGATTATATTTTGTCGTGCATATATGACACTTTTATTCGCTCCATTCAATTAAATTTTGCTTGATTCAACAATTCCTTTTTTTCCGTGCATTTAATCGACTTCGTATCTCCTTCCGTTTTCGAGATCCCCATGCTGTTCAACCTTATCTTCTGACCTCAAGAAAATAATGTTCAAAAATACTCGGTACGAATCGTTGTTACTATAGTGAACTATATGAGAGTCAGATATAGAAACAACTGTATGCGATGTGACAGCTGCCATCCGTTTTGAAATAATCGGGAGGAATGTGTATAATAGTAGATTGTTTTATTAGGATCAAAATTTGAAGTGACACTTTGTTTGACAAGCGAATTTTGCATTTGCGAGGCGGAGCGTTGAGCGAAGCCGAGCGAAAGCAAAATCTGCGAGTCGAACAAAGTCAGTTTTGATCCGAATGAAACATGCTATTTTTTCTGCAACAAAAATAATTAACTCAAATAAACATGTGAAGTTACCACCAATGCCGTGCCATATGCTACAAATATTGACAAATAATCCGTGTGGTGAAAATATCCTACCTGCATTAACAGCAGGTTTACATACAATTTTCAAGGATGTTCGAATTGTAGTTTCAATATAAATACAACCACAGAGTGACATATTTGTGTATGGACCAGGTGCTCTAATGGCAAATACCGCGCCAGGAACAAGACGTGGAAAATGTTAGGTTAGTGAGCATATCAACAATGATAATAGTGATTATTTATCCCACTCCATACTACACTATGTTTGACCTGATAATCAAATGAAGCTAAACAATATCGTTGTTTGAGACAAAAAACAATTGCTTGCTGTGATTATTCAAAAACAAGTTATCCATCCCGAGAATAACGAATGAAATACAGATCAAGCAAGTATTTGAATCTTGCAGGCTTCCCTGGTCAAAACAAAAATACTCTACTGAGATGTATAATTCCAATACTATACCATAATAAGGTGTAATTTTATCTCCAGCATGGGTATGAAATGCCAAATCTGCTGAATTCGGAAACAAATCAGGTATGCGTATCAACCCAAATAACCAACCGTCACAATGTTGTTCATTCTTGATGACGTCCAGTACATCCTTTTCAGTTCCTAGGAGCTCAAGTTTAACTTCAGCTCCTAGGAACTAAAATTCAACTTTAGCTCCTAGGAACTGAATATTTCGCCTAGCAACATACCTATTTTTGTGTCAGTAATAGAAACGTCAATTTAAGAGCTAATTTTGGTTTCAAAATGGACGACTGTTGTGTCGATTGCAGAAAAAAATTGTTTTTTCAACACTTCGTAACTTTCTGCAGTGTTTCACACGGTGCCACGATTTTATGTAACACCCTTTAAATTGGCCAATTCGACGATTTGTCACCATATCGATTCATTTTTTCTTTGTTTTGCAGGGGACCCATCATGTTGTGACAGCCCCATATGTCTACAGGAAACAATCCAAGATATTATAGCGAAGCTTTCAGTTGGTGAGTAATTTATATACAGGTTCAACATTGAATAAGTGGATCATCTCAATATATTGGTGGATCAAACATTCCTTTCATTCATCAGGGTGAACAAACTAAATACTCTGTGAATGTTATCAGCCTATAGATATATATACTGAATTCATCTAAGGAACCACTTTCATGCTCAATAAATTGTATGAGATTTTTTTTCACAAAATGTAACGGCGAATTTTTATTTAGAATCATCTGATATTACCCCTGCACCGATTATCATAATTCTGAAACGAAGTATGTTTGGAAAAATGAACCACATATTTTTTTCATATTATTCTTGAATGTTGAAGTTCTACTGTATTTTGTTTTGATGAACTGATGACTACTCGTCTATGAATGGATCAAAATATTAGCTTTATTTCAATATATCGAAATATCACTAAGTTGGAAATTTCACTATGAGGAACCTTAAAGAACCCATTGAAATGATAGTCATTGACACCTCATTTTTACAACATCAAAACGCCAAGAGATTCTTGAGACTGATCTTTCCTTCTCCGTTTTTAGACCCTTCCTAGTAATGAAAGTCATCAGGAAAATAAGTGATCTTGAATTCACCATCTCCATATATATTCAGATTTTTTATATATTTTGTGTAATCTTTTCTTCCCATGATATCAATATCATTTCACTTTGCCTTATTATATCGAGAAGGAATATTCTCAGATATATTATGATTATGAACAAAAATAGATATACAGGGTGTCTCGAAATTACATAGAAAGATTTCAATCACAAATTCTAGGAACAAAAATAGAACCAGAAGATCATATAAACATGAGTCCAGAAATATCCCCCTGAGGAGTTATGGCCATCTGAAAGAGGTCCGAGATGATGGTGTTTTGTAAATATCCCGAAACCCTCTGTGTTGGTATAACGAAATTTGGTACAGGGTGATTCACCATAAATGTCCCCCCCTCTAGCTCATTCATCCGTCCGAGATGATGGTGTTTTGTAAATATCTCGAAACCCTCTGTGTTGGTATAACGAAATTTGGTACAGGGTGATTCACCATAAATGTCCCCCCCTCTAGCTCATTCATTTTTGAACCGATTTGAAAATTTTTAAAATAATTTAAAATGCTTATTCAGATTTTTTTCCCGTTGCATCAGAAAATACAGGGTGCACGGAACAATCGATCTACAGAGTACTACTTGATTTTTTCAAATGAAACAACCTGTATTTTATTGTATTTTTAGATTCTTCCTGAAGAGCTGATTTCATCAATGCATCACACTTGGGGTCTAGCGGGAATGATTACAGAGATATAGGGTGTTCAAAATCGAGATTTTTCAAGTTCAGGATTTTTTGTCTCGAAACTATTCATTATTGGTCGAAACGGCTGCTCTGGTGTGTCCGCTATTTTGTTTTATGAGAAAATTCGATAAATATGGAGTTGACGTTTGGTTTTGTTCAATTCTCTATCCAACAAGACCTGAGTCAATTGAATCGGTCCAATATATAAAGAAGATATTTTTCGAAAAGCAAAATTTAGTTTGTTTCGACAACCCTATACTTACTTATTTGAATTAGGCTATCTATTATACATATGGTGAAATTTTTCATCTCATTTTGTGACGGATCAACTACAGCACATGAATACAGGGTAACTCACGGTCGATGGTACGTTAGACGTTTATGGAGAACGGGACATAGGATCATTCTGAAATTCTGGTTACTCACGTAGTGGCTCTTGGTCTATCGATCTAAAATATTTTCAGCTCTGCGGCGTTGCCGCTTCTATCGAAAAGTAGCAACAACTTTGTTATTTTAAATGGAACACCCTGTATTTTATTTCATTTTCAGATTCTCTCTGAAGAGCTGATTTCATCGATGTATCACACTTGGGGTCTAGCGGATATGATTACAGAGATATAGAGTGTGAATAATCGACATTTTTCAAATTTAGGAATTTTTTTTGTCGAAACTATTCATTATTGGTCAAAACGGTTCACATGTCCCTATCTCAACTTTTGATTAACTATCTACTGATATTTAATTGGGATATATACCGGGTGATCAAGATTCTGAATTCTGCACCACCCTGTATTTGTTTCAATTAAATGTCAGTAGATAGTTGATCAAGAGTTGAGATAGGGACATGTGAGTCGTTTTGACCAATAATGAATAGTTTCGACAAAAAAAATTCCTAAAGTTGAAAAATGTCGATATTTCACACCCTATATCTCTGTATCATTTTACGCTAGACCCCAAGTATGATACATCGATGGAATCAGCTCTTCAGAGCTGAAAATATTTTAGATCGATAGACCAAGAGCAACTACGTGAGTAACCAAAATTTCAGAATGATCCTATGTCCTGTTCTCCGTAAACGTCTAACGTACCATGGACCGTGAGTTACCCTGTTTATACGTATTGAATTAATACCCACACTCATTGTCATTTATAGAAACGGGAGGAGAAAATTCCGGAAAAATTTTAAGTTATAAACATTCTACAACCTTGATTAACCTACATACTGTATTCAGATGTTTTTCTTTGTTGTTATTTAAAATTTTTTATACTGACGCACGGAAGAATGTATAGGCACGATAAAATGTAATCTTGAAATGATTAAAACAATATCTCATTTTGAGTTTTTATCATACAAAGTGATTTTTGAGAAAATCGAGATGATTTAAATTGCAAAAATACCCAGTCCGCAAGATTTTATGAAAAAATAAACGCTGTATAATTTCAAATAATATCTCTTGACATTTAACATATCTGCAAATGACCTTTCCGTCCTTCGATGAATAACCCTGTACCATGCACCAAAAACTTTAGCGTAGCCACCACATTTTCGAATGGAACTCTTGCGCTGCCACCAATTTATCAATAGGCCTTCTATAATTGAATTATTAACACTGGCGAAGCCACCAGTTTTGCAATTATGAGAATTTCAGTTCATGAGAGACCAGGGACCCAATTCTCAAATCTCGAAGAGTAGCAATCGTATGCGAAATTTGACGTTTGTCTACTGATATTCATGAATATGTATTCTGAGATGTCGCATTAGATATTTCTCAGTAGACAAAACAACGAATAGATTCTACCCAGTGGAAATAAAAGTCACTGGACGACTTTTAACAAAAATCATTGACGCATTGAGGTTATAAATATTGAATGTGGAGGATGAAGTGGAATGTTATTACCTAGTACCTGTGCATAAATGAATACATCAATACTTTTGAATTGAATTTATAATTTTCACGCCATGAACGAAGAGATGACAATATTGACAGCTATTGAAAACTCAGAGAACATTGAAGATGCATTGAAGACTGTCAAAGAAGTACAAGGAGACTCTATGAATAGAATGACTGACGACTGACGTACAATTCGTAAAATCTTCTCGATCATCGAAAAAATGTGTGTGTTATTTCTTTATTTATATTCAACTCCAACCTTCAACTCACCTAACAATTAACAACTAAACACATCACTGGCTAATCAGTCTAATCGTTATGGTACTCCAAATTGAAGGTAAACATCGAAAATATCACAGTATTGTTGACTGTCTACGGTATCTCTACGGGTATTTGAGAATACGATTTACAACTAGCATACGACAGTTGTAGCCGACAAATTGTCGTGTGCGAGAATTTTATTCGTCATTTGAGAATCGGCCCCCAGGGGCACGTATTCGAACGCCCCGATAACAGGCATAGATGAGCGTTTACACCAATCAGGTCGGTTTTGGACTTGGCGGTAAATTTGAATCGCGGATCTTGGCGATTTTGAATCACCGAGTCATACATCGAATAATGATCAATGAATTATTTCCCAAGTTTCTGGTAATATTGATTAGCAATTGATGAAGCATGTGATAGGAACTAGAGAATGAAATTTAGGACAAATTGCTGTAACTAAAAATATATTTTGGTAAAACTGCATCATCATGCGACGGCTTCTTTTTCTAAAATTATTTTGGTACTTATGTATTTTTGTCTGAAAAACACGAATTTGATAATGAAAATGTGAACAAACCACTATTTATCGAGAAATTTCGCCTTCTTTTTCCCCTCGTGTTAGATGCATTTACAGGTAGTACTTGCTCTTTTTATTTTGTCATTGGACACTTTATATACTCATGATATTCTTCAATCACACAATTATATATGATAGAAAATACAACAGGAAATATGATTTTCATGCCGAGTTTTTCATATTAAGTTGAACAAGCAGAAGAAATGACGGCCATTTATTCAAGTCAATGCTTTTGAATGACATTATACAAACGTCATTATTTTAAATGGTATTCTTCCTTTTTCTCACTAAATATGGAGACATCACAAGAAAATCATGTTTCTAGTTGACTCATATAATGGAAAAAAAAATGTGTCCTACATTGTGATATACATAAATTGTCCAATGAGGAAATAAGATCAAAGAGCAAATTGTTCTAAATGCGATTCAGACGACAGGCGGAAAAGAAGGTGACATTTGTAACTTTATAGTGAAATATCTTGCTGAATAACACTTTGTTCACATTCTCATTATCAAATTCGTGTTTTTCAGACAAAAACACGTATATACAAAACATTTTTTTGGAAAAAAAACCTTCGCATTATAAATGCAGTTTTACCATTTCCTTTATTTTCGTGGTCCAAAGAGGAAGTGAGTTCTATACATATTAACACAGATATCATTATTGTGATTGTATATTGGGTGAAGTGCATGCGGATTTTACCTCAATTTCCGATTTATCGACAATGAGTTGATCGAAATCAATACTCTTATCGTAATGAAAATCTGCCATCACTGTGGTCCAGAACTCCGAGAGTAGTTTATGATGACTCCAATGTCCAGAATAATTCAAAATTCAAACCATTTCAAACTGATGTTTATTCCAAATTAAAAAAATTTATCCAAAACACGCACGCGTGAAATTCAACGTTGTGATTGGTCTAAAAGCTTGCCTATACCTGTTATCAGGACGTTTTGAATACGTGCCCCCCAGG